CTCATACCACAGGGACGTCCTTGGGGCAGGCACTGAAAGTAAAAACACAAACTAGAAGTAGAATAGACTAAAGATAAAATAGATTTGCCTACCCTATTTGTATAAATTTTCGCTATGTTTCATGTAATTGTCGTACTATTGAGTGCCTCGAATGCAACATCATCGAATTGATTATATATTTTTAGATCAACGTTTAAGATTGAGTTGGATATGTATATTATATCTTTATTTCCTCCAAATTGAAGATTCATAATGCAGGTACATAAATAGATAATAATGAATACATCAGTAACAGAGTTAGCTGATTCATATTGCAACAACCAAATAAGGCTTTGAGAATAACTGATAATAACATACCATGCCATTCATACCGTTCATATATCGTCGTTCTCGATACAGATCTTGAGCAGATACACTGCAGATAACAACAGCCAAAGCCAAGATAGCAGAAAATATACGAGCCATTCTGAAATTATGATTACATTTAATATTTCGATTGTACAAGTCACAAAGTCAAAACCGATGGGCTCCTGTTTAAATCGCATTCTATAAGTCATCACAATAGACTTTATGTTATTCCTGGCTCTGGCGTCAATATTTCCACGCTAGATTGAGTCTGGTTTGCGGAGTATGAGTGGATAACCACAATAATGAAATATTCTTCCTTACCTGTAAAACTGATACAAGTGAATGAATACCAATCTATAGAGTGTCCACAATATTTATAGTTTAACTCTATCAATTGATCAAATTAATAAATATTTATCTGAGATATACGTGATGAAATCTCGACATAATCTGATGATGGCTGACAACACTACCGACATGTTGAGATTGATTTGATAACTTCATTTGAATATTATGGAGCCGACTGTGGAAAGCGAGGAAACTTCACTTCTCGCCCACGAGAAAGCGAGGAAAAGGAGAGAAATCGAGGGTAAAACAAGGGGAAGAAAAAGGCGAGAAAGCGAGGAAAATTTAGATATAGACCTAAAGTCATTCGAAGCACTCCGTTGATTTGGAAGAAAATGAGGGGAATCAGACAACCAATTCTTGTACTATATCAGAGGCCTACCAAATAGACAAAGACCAACAGTTAAAGCGCGTAGGTATTCCAATATTTAGAGGAAATAAAAGCGAATTAACCAAGTAGTGCACAATTTTAGCTGTAGAGACAGTATTAAAATGCTGCAACTCAGGCAGTACCTAGACGACGAAGCTTTGAAGGCAATAGAAGGTTTTCCAGCTAGTTCCATTGATTATGAAGCTGCTATGAAGAGATTAGATGAAAAGTATGGCGGACTACTTCGACATTTACATGCAGTACAACAAAGGAAACCTGTTAATTTTAATGATGTAAAGGATATAGAAAAATTGTTGATAAATTAAAGCTGTCAATAATTTCAGGCCGTGTAGCGTCGTGTTGTCATACTTCCTCGGGGCCGTGTAGCGTCGTGTCCGCCGTGTCGTCATACTTCCTCGGGGCCATGGTAACACAAATGAGAAAAGTATTCATAGCTAAATGTTGTCCAATCAAAATTGGCCCTACTGTATTGGTAGCAAATTTCATCCAATCAAAATAAATCACTCGTTATGACGCTTTGTTAGCGAACGTACATGTAAACAAAACGAAAGCAGCGTTACATATTTTGATGAATAAATTGTGTAGCTTACCAATCTCATTTCCACGCCCCCAAAACGAAGTGTTGAGGGCTTAGTTTAATACGGGTTAATAAGATCATGTCAAAACCCGTATTCGTAGAAGAATTTCAAAACAATTCGATGTTTTATAGCATACAGGAAAGTTTTCAACAGCCAATATTACACATTACAAAAGATGGGTTACTTTAGAAAAATGTGAAGAAAATTTAGAAACTTTGCATACTTGGTAAGCCACCGAAGTTAGATTACGTAATGAAGCTCAAGAGGAATTAAGTGGCTTATTGTCCCCTACAGTAAAACTTGGTCGTATTCGTACTTTTGCCACTAGTCACAATTATGTTGATAAATGTTATTTATGTAATGACCCCCCCCAGCGTTTGGTAGATTGTCCCCAATTTAATCGTTTACCTGTATCTAAAAGGTGCATCAGGTGACAAAATTGGTTATTCTTTTAGTGTTAAAAAGTGGTCATTGTTTCTTTGAAGCAACTTCATTGCTCGATAAATGTTCCACTCATTGAATTGTTCAGAAGTTCATAGATCGATTACAGAATATATAGGCAAATATAGAGAACCAGTTGTAAGGCTCAATCCGTTAGGATGGACATGTATAGGCTCATGAGATGATTCACAGGTTAACCTTTCCGATAATCATTTTGCTCATATTTTTTTTATAGAATGGAATCGAGGAAACAAATTCGTTGCTTAGGCATATGTGGGAAGTAGAAGTTAGTGGAATGCATTCTGATTCACTATCTATAGCTGACAACAAGCTTTATGTTAAGACAGAGATTCTTTGCGATTTGATAGTGTAGATATTCCTTGAAAAGATAATGAGCCACAGTGAAACAATAAATTTGTCGAGATTAGATAATTCAGAACGTTTGTTAAAAAAATATACCTGAGGTAGCTTCAGAATATTGTAGGATTATTAGAGTTCATATAGATAAAGAGATGTTAAAGAGATTGTGCCATGTAATTTAGATATAAATAAAACTTGGTATTTACCCCATTTTCTTGTGGTAAGGTTGTATAAGGATTCAACTAAAGTTAGGATGCTGCGTCTAAGTTTAATAGTAAGTTTTTAAATGATTGTATCCATGTTGGTCCTAAGTAACTTAGAAAAAAGTCCTGTGCAATAATTGAGTTACCTCCCGTTCGGTTAGTTCGGGTAAGAGTTATCGCTACTTCCGGTTAGTACAGTTTAGATGTGTCAACAAAGGCCGCGATAAACAAAGAGAATTCATATGCAAATAGTGACCTCGATTCACTCAAAGTTAGTAGCCTTCGCTATTTTTTACGTTTGCGCGATGTTCAGATAAGCGGAACAAAGGCGGAACTTTTAGCAAGGGCGACCGGTTTGAGAGATTTGAACGTTCGACCGTTGAGCGAGTTACAAGTCGAAGACTTGGAAAATCAACAAGCCCGTGCCATTGAAAAATTCCGCACACCACTGGGAGAAAAAATACCAGAACCGGAGAGTCTACATGCGAATTGGATGAGCAACACATCAAAGATCCCACCATTTAGACAGGAGGATATATTTCAATATTTGGTGTCTAATAAAATGAGAACATTTGACAGCAAGTGTATGAATGCCAAACGTCAGTTAAAAGTCAAGGTGTTTTTCGAGGATAAACATGTCCACAGTGTTAAATACAACGACATAAACGAACAATGTTCACATTGTTATGTGAAATGTAAAGTTGTTCCATCCTTACTGGTACAGAGAAGCAGAAGCCAGATTATGATGTATGGGTTTGTCAATCTAAAATAAATGGGAATATTCATGCAGCTGGTTGCACATGTTCTGCAGGGAAGGTTTTGTATTCTTTATTAATGAATATGATTGCTGAGTTTACTGGTCATTCCATTTGTTTATGCACATCAATCTTTGACAATGGTGGGTTCATCATAAAAATACACCTGTTAATTTTTTGCATGCCCTTTATCCATTTTACCTCATTACTTACTTAATATTTTTTCTCTTTTTATATTTACAAAGAGGGTGAATCGTGTAACTACATAGCAGCACTATTGTATGCCCTGACAGATATAAGTGAAAGGAAGAAAGATGGGCTTGATGCCTAAACTTCAAATATCTGCAAATGGAATCAGCCAATTTAAGAAAAAGAAAAATGAGTCCGACAACAGTACAGAACCTTGCGTTTAAAAAGTTGCTGCTGATATTACTGAAATGTTTTATGCAAATTTGTATACTGAAGCCGTCATTTCAGTGTATTTGTTGCGAATAAGAATAGATCGCAACTCTCGTGATATGAAACCTATGGCCACTTTTATTGTTCGCAACCATATGTAACTGGTAATTGATGTTCGAGCATCCTAAGTAATAAAGACAACATGATGAGGATATTTATTAAAACAAGGAGAGAACACGGAATGTGATATTCAAACTGTAAGATGTAACAATCCAACACAGATACTTCTACACATCCGAGGCCGACTTAAATCATAAACATGAACAATATAATTGTTTAAGATAGAAAAATAAAAATAAACGTCGTAACTGTACAATATAGATAATATATATCATACTAAATTGATAATATATTCCAGGTAACCACGTTTCAGTTCACCACAGAAAAAACAGGATGGAAGCTAAATGTAAAAGATTATTCGTGTTTATGTTATCACCTGATGTATACAGATATCTGTGCTGGACTCTATTATATTTGTAAATAGTGAAATTGAAAGGGGAAAGAACTAATATATTATGTATATACAATGCTATACACAATAGATCAAAGTAAGATATCGCACTGAGATAACGAGGCAACTAGAAGGGGAAAATCATTTTCGTGTGTTGGAAATCTTCTTGACTGTTCACCCACCCTCAAAATAATAAGTTATTGAATTGAATTGTTCGCTACCAGTGCCATCTTTCCAAATATTGAAATGGCTACTTCTAATTCACATACAATTACAGAAATGACTCCCTATCGTTTATAGTTAATTGTAACATCCAACAAGTATTACCAGCTATGTGGGGTCTCTGAAAGGGTTGCCAAGAAGATTGAGTCTCACCCCCCCCCCCCCCCCTTCCGACCTTTACACTACCAAAAATAATATCGTCCAATTTCCACTCCATGTATTTTCCAGATATTACACAAATGACTTCATACCCTTTATATCTAATTGTAATATCCAACAAATATTATTAGCTATGTGGACTCTTTGAAAGACTGTGGAGTTGACAAATATTGGGTCTTCCAGTAGATCGAATATAAAACGGACCAATACAATAAACTAAGTACTAATGATCCGAGCCACAAAACGAAACAGGAAATAAAAAAACAACATTTTGGCGAAACAAAGAAGCAGCTAATAAACTTTTCACATGATGTTATCAATCAATCATAAGTCAGAGATAATGAAATAATAAATAACTAAAAGTGGTGTTCTGCAAGAGGCTTTTGAATTGACTGTCCATGTTCCAAAACCTTTCCTTATATATTCATAAGTTGCATCTGATCCGTAATTTTTGTAATAACCATGCTTCCGGTCATGGCCTCCAGTGTTGTCATGAATTCAAATAGTAAAAAGTGTAAAAGTAAAAATAATAGTAAATTATATAAACAGTAAAAGTAAAATAGAATCAATGTAGTGAATTAGATGCTCTGTAATTTAAACTAAGAAAAGAACCAACTGTATTATAATTCTGTTTTATTAACTCTATACTCAACATACAGGACAAAGAGGAAGGTAAAAACAAAAAAAGTGACTTAGCTGATCAATTCTAACAGTTCAAGGGAAGTAACTTTATAATTCATCATTTACCCATTATACAACTCCTACTTGTTACCTTGGGATTATGCTACCTCGCTCTGCAAGCTAACAGTTAAATTTCAACTTTAAGAGGAATCGGTCACGTGAACAGAGTAGATATGAAACCGTCTGCATCCTTTAATGATCTCTGAACCGTTGGAAATTGAATGGTGGTAAGCCAATGTCGATGTCCCGGCAAAATTTCACTCCCTTTAACACTTCATCGGTGAGAAAATTAAGAAGCAAAACTGAACTTTTATTTTAAAGACATAACAACAAATAATATCCTGGGCACCGTTTCTCAAAATTTCTTACGACAAACTTGAACATCATGTGACGAAAAACATTATCTTTTACGTTATCAAATAGTTAATTTATACTCGTACGTTATTTCTACGATATTTTGAGAAACGGGTCCGTGTTTACTAATTACGGGAAATAATGGCTAAAAATTCAAGGCTAAAAACAGTAACAGAGGTAATTCCTAATGTATGCACAGTTGGACATTCATAAGAATATATTAGATACATAGTATTTGAAACACTAATTACAATATAACCAGAAATAAACATTTTTAATCTCCAGAACCGTCGACTTAGGCTAAATAACAGTATACAAAAGATATCGGCACAATACATAATTCTAAACACAGTAGTATATGTATCTCTATCACCACCGCATTTTACATAACACTCCCTCTGAAACAAAAAATAAAACATTAGTTACCGAAAGTTCAACCCTACAATTTACCGTTAGACGTATACCTGATCTAAAATTCACAGATTTCGCTTAAAAATCAGTATAAAGTTCGGAAAATACATCCCCTTAGTCCAGTGGTATAGCAAAACCATTGTACATTTTGTGATACAAGCAACAAATTTGTCATACTGCTACTTTTATACATTTTTGGATATGGAGCCACGTAAAATTTCAACATGGCGACCTTCAAAATCTATAACTATTTCTGTCAGCTTTAAACCCGTTCTTGGGTGTCTAATTGTACATTTTGGAGGTCAAGGAATACACTAATTAAGGTTGAATTTCAAAATGGCGACCATCAAAAATCTATAATTGCCAATATTGCCAATCTATGTTTGCTATAAACCCGTTTTTGGTGTCTAATTGTACATTTTAAGGTCAAGGAATCCAATGGTTTATTTTTATACGCCCAAATTATAATGTGGTCGTATATTGTCGCCGCCCCTGTCCGTCCGTAGGTCGGTCCGTCCACAATTTTCTTGTGAACGGAATAAAGACAACAGTTTTTATAACTGATTTGGCTGAAATTTGATGTGATGATTTATATTCATGAGGTCTTTGACAAGTTCGAATTTGACGATCTTTCGTTAAACGGTTTTTGAGTTATTAGAGACGTTTCGCAAACACACGATTACGATTACGATAACGATTTTATAATCGTAAACGTAATCGGCATCGTTATTTGAAAAATGTAGGTTTCGCAAATAAACGATTTTGAAAATTACGATTCATGTCCCAAGACGGGATTCGAACCTGTCGATATATTTCCCGGCATTAGAATATTTGGGGGCTCTGACAGATTTTGTAATATAATATTTTAGGTGGTAGGCCTAGCCTAGGAACACCCAGGTCCTAGGCCTACATCATCATGATTTTCATAAGACTATAGGCCTATTATGTATTATATATATAGCCTATCCTACGTGCGCGCACATACACAGTAGGCCTTCTAATATATATGATACAGACATAGGCCTACATATATGGTTAGACATCACAGGTAGAGACGCTCAATATGCTGAACACAGTGCATGCAGTGTGAGTGTTATCATTGACGTTTTTAGCATAAAATTGATCCCCGGTGAAAACATTTAAAATCAATGTTGAGTCACTATTTTTCGACAGCAATATGAGCTACGGTATCTGAAGTGTTCATATAACTACCAAACCTTGGAATAAATTATCATAAACCTGCACAAAAAGATGGAATATGTGTACATATTTACTTACGATTCTAGGCTCTCTTAAACGTCGTCACGAATGGCGCTGTACGTTAACATTGCCATTCTGGTCATTGCACTAGCCCAACAGCGACAGCAACAACTGTAGGAACTCAGGCTTGAGTTCGTGATAGGCAGAATTTGGCTCTACACAGCATATTGCTGCAGATGTTAGACCTGATAAGTTAAAGGTACTTAAAGTGTTCCATACTGTAACAGACTGTAATACAGTATTTACAACATATTCCGCTTGATAACATCACTGAGTAGCATTGACCTGTCGATCAAACGTTCCATTGCAAAGGAGTGGAAGTTGTCTTTGCCCATTTGAGTACATTTTACGAAGTCTCAACTGCTGGCACAGTACCCCAATGTTGAAAATGGTTCTCCATCCCCTTCAAAACATGCCAAAGTAACTTGAAAGACGTGTACATGGGGTATGACTGATGTCAAGACTAACAAAATATTAGGTTAATATCCTATATTTTACTTTGCCGCCATCTTGAAATTCAAAATGGCGACAGTTGTAAACACTCATTGGAAGATTTCTTGACCACCAAAATGTAAAATAAGGAATGGGTTTACAATTAAGAGCGAGTTTATAGCCGACATAGATCCAGAAATCACCACTTATAGATTGTTGATAGTCGCCATTTTTGGATTTCAACATAATGGCAGTTGTTGCTACTTGAAACATAAACCATTGGATTCCTTTACCCCAAAAATATACAATTAGCTGCTGAGACACAGATTCAGAAATATCAACAACAAAATAGTTTGAATGGTAGCCATTTTGCAATCAAGTGGCTCCATATCCAAAATTGTTCACAACATATTCAAATAATTTTATGCTAAATTTGGTGCTTGAATCACAAAATGCACAATATCTTGATATTTGGGGTCTATGCTATCGTTTCAATGTATCTACCTCTGGTCGACGGGTTTCAGGGCAGAATGTTATCTATTTTGTAAAGAAAATGATACTGTAAAATTACTGTGTTGCTATTTTCAATACTTATAGATTTATAAAGAATGGAAATCACCAATATAACTATTTTTTTCTTAGTAATTAAATAAATAGATAAGTCAATAACCATGCTTTTACTTTCACTTTGGTTTTTACTCGACAGGTAATTATAGCTGACCAATCGTATTGACCGAAATTTACTGCCAAATCAACCGGAAGTAGATATATTGAAACGATGGGTGTAAATTGTTTTAGTATTTTTATTGAACAATAGTTAGATTTGAATGAAGGGGAACACTGAGAGAGATATATAAAAAGGTCTTGTGTGAAGGGAAAATATTCAATTAAACGATTCATATAAGCTTGGGATAATGTTTCATTACGGTAAATGGTAGAAAGTCGTCTGAAGCGGAGGTGGTCGTGACGAGCGTTAACCACCTTCTCATGTATATACTATGTAGATAGAGTCGACTATTGATAGAAACTGATGCCTGTGTTTTAAAGCACCTCACTCAAAGGTTAGAAATAAATTTTGAGTATGACAGCATATGTCGAAAATTTTGTGCAAGTAAAATGTTTATTCGTTTTTTATCTTACTAGGTTATATACCAGTGTGTTTCAACCTTGATCAGTTTATACAAAATTACTCATTACGTATTCGACGTACGGCAGCCTATTCAACAATTTTATCATACGCTGGGTATACGCTTTCCTACATCGCCAATGTGTGACATGGCCATTATGATCTGACGTGTTCTGGTTTAGTTTCTTGACTCATGCCTAAATTATTTTAAATGGACTCAAAAATGTTCAAATCATTGCAAAAAGCTTTACATTTACTGAAATTAGTAATGACTTACTTGATCGTTGTAAATGTTACTAATATTAAAAAATTTCACAAACAGCGACGTTGTCATTGTGGCAGCACACATCCATTGCAGAATATTGAAATATGTTGTCCCTGTAAAAGAGAAATATTTCAGTTCACAACCATTGTATACCTGTCCCCCATATACCTAAAAAAATATTACCATAAGTAACTTTTACATTAACATATACTGAAGCATATTAGGGCCATTCATTTTTTTTTTTGAATTTTCAAGTTAGTATGTTGAATTTTCAAGTTAGTATGTTGAATTTCAAGTTAGTAACTCGAATTTTCAAGTTAGTTACTTGGATTTTCACCTAGTATGTTGAATTTTCAAGTTAGTATGTTGAATTTCAAGTTAGTAACTCGAATTTTCAAGTTAGTTACTTGGATTTTCACCTCGTATGTTGAATTTTCAAGTTAGTATGTTGAATTTAGTAACTTGAATTTTCAAGTTACTAACTTGAAAATTCAAGTTACTAACTTGAAAATTCAACATACTAACTTGAAAATTCAAGTTACTATAACTTGAAAATTCAAGTTTCTAAATTCAACATACCAACTTGAAAATTCAACATACTAACTTGAAAATTCAACATACTAGCTTGAAAATTCAACATACTAGCTTGAAAATTCAAGATACTAACTTGAAAATTCAAGTTACTAACTTGAAAATTGAAGTTACTAACTTGAAAATTCAACATACTAACTTTAAAATTGAACATACTAACTTGAAAATTCAACATACTAACTTGAAAATTCAACATACTAGCTTGAAAATTCAAGATACTAACTTGAAAATTCAACATACTAACTTTAAAATTGAACATACTAACTTGAAAATTCAACATACTAGCTTGAAAATTCAACATACTAACTTGGAAATTCAAGATACTCACTTGAAAATTCAAGTTACTAACTTGAAAATTTAACATACTAACTTGAAAATTCAACATACTAACTTGAAAATTCAACATACTTACTTGAAAATTCAAAAAAAAAAAATTAATGGCCCTAATACGCTTATGTAAACATAGGACTCGCATTAGATAAAACTTTATCGTTAGTGTTTGTTCTAGTATCTAGAAACATTTATTTAAACGACTCTTTACTTAGAAATGAGAAAAAGAAGAAAAATTTTCACTTGTATACCCTGTAAAAAAAGTCCATTTTTGTCAGTAAATTTTTGTAATTTTTGTTTTATTATTATGCATGTCCCAGAATTGTCTGTGGTTTTTAGCGACATACTATTTTTGACGGAAATGCCTTACGGAAAATTATAACAGGATCACTGTAAATTTACGAAAATTATAACAGCATCGCTGTAAATTTGCGAAAATTATAACAGCACCGCTGTAAATTTACGAAAATCATAACAGCATCGCTGTTAATTAATAGAAAAGTATGACATTATAACTGTTAATTTACGAAAAAGTCGTTTGTGTTTATTCAGAACAAATCTGATTGTATATAGTTATTGCCAGTTTGCATAGATTATCTTACAAAAAAAGAAGGACCGTTTCAAAACTGATCCCGCGTGCTTTGTAAAACCGGAGCCCGAAAACAAATCTCAGTGCAAGAAGCAGTAAGTAATTTTTACGGATGAATAACGTTGTTGCTTACTTTATATTTAAGGTAAGTCACTAATATTATATTCTAATATAAACGTATATGTACGCCAAAAAAGTCTTACTGTGGACATTATGCATTTCACAGATTCATTGCCATTGTCAAATTTCCATGTGCTTTGCATTGCAGACTCATATGTCTAGCTATCACACAAAGCACCGATTTAATCTTAGAATATCAAGATTGCCAGCGTTGACTTCTGCAACTTCGTCAGTATATAAATGCTCAGTAGCTGACTGTGAAATGAAAGATGGAGATGAAATATTCTGTCCAATATATCCGTGTAGAAGTTTGTTTAAAGTCCTCATTTTCTTCTCACTTAACAAAAAAACATCACAATTGGACTAAAGATAGCTTCAATCAACAATTTGTTAATGACAATATTACATGCGATTCGGCAGAGACAGAATATTCTGCAATTGACAAAGAATTCACAGATCAGTTTGACGAGACTGAACATGAGGGAGCTGGGGACAATATAGATATCGGAACTAACGAAACCATAACAGATAAGAATGAAGATTTTAGCAAGGATGACTATGAAAGTAATTTAATGACCAGCTTCGCTCTATTTTACTTAAAATTACAGGCTTAGCAATTAATCCCACAGTCCACAATTCAGTTCATAGTCTAAGAAATTGGCAATCTGTATTCCTTAAGTTGGGAAAATATGAAGAAAATGTTAAAAAGGAAACTGGTAAAATAAGGAATTTTCAATATAAGGAATTTTCAATGAGGTAGCAGAACAGCTGCTAGTGGAAATTCAAAATCATAATCTGTTTTTGCATGCAACCGACATAGATGAGAGCCCGTTTTGTTCAACTCATAGTAGGAATATTTATTACAAATCAAAATTTAGACAATATGTTCCTCCAGTAAAAATTGGTCAAAATATTAAAGGTCCTGTTTATAGTTACTATGTGCCTTCAGAAAAAAACCATTGCCTCATTCTTTCAAGACAAATCAGTGTTAGATCAGTATAATAATTCAATTATTATTTTAATCGCAACGAATTGCATGATATTTTTAACGGCACTCATTTCAAAAGCAATCTCATTTTTCAGGATAATTCTCGTATTCAAATTATGCTCTATCAAGATGCCTTTGAATTAGTGAATCCAATAGGTGCAGCAAAAACAAAACATAAGATGATTGGTATTCATTTTACATTAGGCAACTTTTATCCATGGAACGGATCTAAAATGAATACAATCCAGCTTGTTGCACTATGTCGGGACAAGGATTTATCTGAATTCGGTGTTTAAAACTTTCATTACTGAATGCAAACGGTTTGAAAATGAAGGGTTTTTCAATGTAAATGGAATAACAGGTCCTTGTTTTGGTACAGTGATATCTTGTTTAGGGGATAATTTAGGTTCACATTACTCAGGTGGATTTGTGGAAAACTTTTCAGGTGAATATTGGTGCCGATTTTTCCTTTATGCTAAGAGTGAACAAAATATTTTACCTAAAGAAGCTAGAACCATACAAAATTACAAGGACTGTTTGAAATATCTCCTAGACCATCCTGATTTAAAAAAATATAAAAAGGATTAAAAGAGATTCTGTCTAAAATAAATTATCTCACTTTCATGTTTGTTCAGGCCTTCCTCCTTGTATTACACATGATTTATTTGAAGGATTGCTTATGACTTGCATCTTATAATTGATTATTTTGTCAAAGTCAAGTGGCTGACTTACGATTATATAAATAGTCTTATGGGAAAATTCCCATTTAAACTGAATGATGCAAATGATAGCCTCGTACATTGAAACCTCACAATGTCAAATTGTCTGGAAATGCAATGCAATTTGGTCTCTTTTGAGACCTCTTTTTTGCAACAAATGTCCGTAATAGAACAGATCCTGTATGGAGTCTATTACTATCTCTCCAGGAAATTAGTTTGAGACAAATCAGTTACATGGAGGAATTGATCTTAGTTTTTATGAGAGAACGTAAACGTTTGTTCCCCCAAGTCAGCTTAACGCCAAAACATCATTATGTGCACCATTATCCTTTATTGACTCTGCAATATGGTCCTCTAATTAGAGTTTGGTCAATGAGAATGGAATCAAAACATTTCAAGCGTTGTGTACGAAGGTTTCAAAATTTCAAAAATATAGGATACACCCTATCTGACAGCAATTGTTGCAAGCATATTATTCTAGTGTTTGTCTATTTGACAATGACCTTTTTACACAAAATGCAACCTCTTTTAATTTGGAGGACTATAATAGTACTGTACAGAATAGTATAAAAAGTAGCAAAATAGCTATGGAAAGTTCTCTCATCTGTGACAGTATTGTTTATAGGGGTATTACCTAATCCTAGAATGACCATCTTTTTTTATTGGACACTTCTGACCTTTTTCAAATTGGTAAGATAATATTTTATTTAGTGAAGGACAATGAACCATATTGCATTGTTGAAATGTTTCAGGCTATTCGCTTGCCTAAGTTTGGAGAGTATAAGTTAAAACCAGTAAATGTCAACTGCTTTAAACTGTTAAAATTCTCTCATGACATGTTTGATTATTATCCGTTACCTACATAATTGGAATTTAGGGTCACTTGCATAGTTTTAAAACACATTGTACCAATAAGATCATAAATAGTTCTGGTCTAAACTTTATTTACATATATTTCTTAATGTACCTGTATACTCCTGTTAAACAGACTGCTTCTTTTTAAACTTAATGTAAGCTTTATAACCGAATAAGTATTTTGAGGTTTTTTCTCTTTTTATTATACTATTATTCTATGGTTACACTTCTTCTTCCCTTTGGTTATTTTTCACTCTTCCTCTATAGTTAATTACAATACATTTTATACTGGACCTGACAATACTTTTAATATATAGCTCAGCCAATACTGAGGATGATGACAACAGTATGGTGTTTGTGTCTAATTCATGAACATAAATACAAATAAACAAGATTAACAGATTAATATATACACAGATTAAAATACGTATAGTTATAGTTAAACTAACTTTATTATGCAACAGAGTTGTTGTCGATTAAGATACGTATAGTTATAGTTAAACTAACTTTGTTATGCAACAGAGTTGTTGTCGATTAAAATACGTATAGTTATAGTTAAACTAACTTTATTATGCAACAGAGTTGTTGTCGATTAAGATACGTATAGTTATACTTAAACTAACTTTGTTATGCAACAGAGTTGTTGTCGATTAAAATACGTATAGTTATAGTTAAACTAACTTTATTATGCAACAGAGTTGTTGTCGATTAAAATACGTATAGTTATAGTTAAACTAACTTTATTATGCAACAGAGTTGTTGTCGATTAAAATACGTATAGTTATAGTTAAACCAACTTTGTTATGCAACAGAGTTGTTGTCGATTGAAATACGTATAGTTATAGTTAAACTAACTTTGTTATGCAACAGAGTTGTAGTCGATTAAAATACGTATAGTTATAGTTAAACTAACTTTGTTATGCAACAGAGTTGTTGTCGATTAAGATACGTATAGTTATAGTTAAACTAACTTTATTATGCAACAGAGTTGTTGTCGATTAAAATACGTATAGTTATAGTTAAACTAACTTTATTATGCAACAGAGTTGTTATCGATTAAGATACGTATAGTTATAGTTAAACTAACTTTGTTATGCAACAGAGTTGTTGTCGATTAAAATACGTATAGTTATAGTTAAACTAACTTTGTTATGCAACAGAGTTGTTGTCGATTAAAATACGTATAGTTATAGTTAAACTAACTTTATTATGCAACAGAGTTGTTGTCGATTAAAATACGTATAGTTATAGTTAAACTAACTTTATTATGCAACAGAGTTGTTGTCGATTAAAATACGTATAGTTATAGTTAAACTAACTTTATTATGCAACAGAGTTGTTGTCGATTAAAATACGTATAGTTATAGTTAAACTAACTTTGTTAAGCAACAGAGTTGTTGTCGATTAAAATACGTATAGTTATAGTTAAACTAACTTTATTATGCAACAGAGTTGTTATCGATTAAAATACGTATAGTTATAGTTAAACTAGCTTTGTTATGCAACAGAGTTGTTGTCGATTAAAATACGTATAGTTATAGTAAAACTAACTTTGTTATGCAACAGAGTTGTTGTCGATTAAAATACGTATAGTTATAGTTAAACTAACTTTGTTATGCAGCAGAGTTGTTGTCGATTAAAATACGTATAGTTATAGTTAAACTAGCTTTGTTATGCAACAGAGTTGTTGTCGATTAAAATACGTATAGTTATAGTTAAACTAACTTTGTTATGCAACA